CCCTGGACGCAGACAGGCCCGCTGGCTGCACCCCTCTCGCATCTGGGGGCACAGACCCCTCCATCCCCGGGTGGGTCCGCCTGTGAGTCCTGCGCCCCGTGTGAGCGCAGAACATCCGGAGCCGGGAGTTTCAACCCAGGCGCAGCTGGAATGTTTAACACACGCTGCACCTGGCTGTTTAGTTGTTGTTGTTGTTGCTGCTGTTGATCCTCATCCGAGGATGTTTTTTCCATCGATCCTTTAGGGAGAGTGGAAGAGAGAGGGAGAGACAGAGAGAGACATGATGTGAGACAAACACGTGGATTGGTTGCCTTCCGCACGCACCCGGACCAATAAAAATATATTTTAAAAGAACCTGGAGCCTGCCCCTCTGACTCTTTTTTTTTTTCAATATCTTTATTGAATTTAGAGAGGAAGGGAGAGAGAGAGAGAAACATCACTGATGAGAGAGAATCTTGGATCAGCCGCCTTCTGCACGCCCCCCACTGGGGATCGAGCCACAACCCGGGCACATGCCCTTGACTGGACTCGAACCCGGGACCCTTCAGTCCACAGGCCGACGCTCTGTCCACTGAGCCACACGGGCCAGGGCCCAGCCGCGTTGACTTGAGGGGAGAGGCTGCCCCTCGAGGAGCACAGGGCCCACGGGAAACTGAGTGAGCGTCGCGGTGCCCCCGGGACAAGCAGGTGTGAAGACATGGGCTCCCAATGGGGAGAGGCCCTGTTCGCCCCGTACCCTCCGTGCCTGCCTTAGTCCCTCAGGGATGGAGACCGCTTTTGAGCGTTTCCTTCTTGGCAAAGCCACGCTTTTAAGAAGCCGGAACCGGGAGCCCGGCGTGGCCTTGGGTGTCCTCTCCGTTGCAGACCGAACGTTCCCTGCCCAGTCGGGCCGGTCACACACCAACTGTGAGTCACACACAGGCACTGAGCCACTGTGGGGGGGGGGAGGGGAGAGAGAAGAGGTGATGTTTATCAGCGGGTGCATCTTCGCAGAGGACAGCCTGGCCTGATGGCGGGTCGTAGTCATAGCGTTACCTGCACGCGCATCGCTGGGGAGCTCCTGGGATGGTTTCTGGCCATCGATATTGACAGAAGCAGGCCCTTCACAACGGCCACGCAGGTCATGTCTCCAGGGATGAGTCATGCCCCGTGAGGCCTTGTATCATCAGGGCTCCGTCCCCATTGGCTGGAGCGGCTGGAAGTCACCGGGTCATTGGAAAACACGCCTGGTCACCGGCATTTATGAAATCTCAAAGCACGCGGAGAGAAGGCATGAGTTTGGAAGCAGATGGCGCTGTCTTTTCTTATCTGCCAGCTTATAAATACAGCGCTGGCCCGGCCAACGTGGCTCAGTGGTTGAGCGTCGACCTAGGAACCAGGAGGTCAGGGTTTGATTCTCGGTCAGGGCACACGCCCGGGTTGCGGGCTCCATCCCCAGTGAGGGGCGTGCAGGAGGCAGCTGGTCCATGATTCTCTCTCATCATGGATGTGTCTATCTTTCTCTCTCCCTCTCCCTTCCTCTCTGAAATCAGTAAAAAAAAAAAATAGTTAAACAAAAAAGATAAGAAGACAGTCTCCCTGTGGCTGAGTGACTACATAGCAGCCCCAGCCCCAGGGGGTAGGTACGTGGATGGATCAGTGATGAGTGAATCGTCGACAAACATCGAAACTCGTCCCGGAGCCCCGAGGGCTGGACAGGCGACCACGCCCACCTCTACAACAGCCTCTCGGAGATCATTAGGGCACTGAAGTGGCAAAGGGCCGCTGCTCCTTCCCAAGGACGCCTGGTCCACTCTGGTTGTGTTGGCCAAACAGAGAGAACACACCCCCTCGCCCCCCCCACTCCCCTACCTCCCCATGAAAAGCAGACTTTCGTGTATGCTCACCCTGCAGCTCCCGGGGGGCCCAGGGGACACCCTCCACGGAGGGTCATAGCAGCTCCAGGCCACACACCAGCTGGCTTGCCCCCCAGCACACCCAGGCCCGGCCGGGTGAGCCGCCTGCCACAGGCACGGCCAGCCGCTGTGTGCGGACACTGTGACACCCATGAAACGAGAGTGAAAGTGTCCACATCCTCAAACCTGTCCCCTGAAGACACTCCCTGAGCCCGAAGCTGCGGCCAGAGGCGGCTGCGAGGAGCAGAGACTGAGGCCGGTCAGCTTCCTGCCGGCTTCGTGGCGGCCTCTCTGCTGCTTCTTGCAGGCCGGCCAGCTGCCCCTCCGTTGTTATTATTAGGGGAGCGTTTGCCTTGTCGATCTTCAAAGAGATTCCAAACGGGCATTTTGGGGACTGCACAGAGGTCAGAGTTCCTCCCCCTGTCACTCCAGAGGCCCAGGCCAGCTGACAGTCATCTGACCCCCGTGGGGTGCGCGCACTTTGAACCAGTTCCCGGCCTATCTCCCGGGCGCCCCGTGAACCCCGGTCAGCTCCGGATTGAACAACAGATGCACAGACACGGGCGTCCACACCCCGAGGGCCTCCCACGGGCTGGGTCCCGGCAGGGCCTCCCTCGGCCCAAACACACGGGCTCAGGCGGCCCAGCCTCGACTCTCAAGTGTGCGGCTCAGAGCATCGGCGGTATTTCCTCTGCCCGTGGAGGGATTTTCCTGGGGTTTTTCTTCAGTTTCGGTTTTGCCGAGCTGCTGAGAATGGCTCCTTTCTCCTTCCTGCCCCGGCTGCTTCGATCCTCCAGGGCTGTGTGTTCAGAAAGTCACTCGCAGCTGCGGCCCTGACATGTGTCCCCCCCAAATGCAACCGAAAAACCCCCATCCTCTATGGAGTGCCAAGCCCTGGGCTCCAGGACCGGGGAACCTGCCCCCCAGGCTGTGCCCCTCACCACGGGTCCAGGGGAGTCTGATCGGGGGTGTCAGGAGCTGTGAGCCCCAAGTGGTGGGCTGATGTCCGTCTGCCCAGGACGGGAGCCCCCTGTTCAGAAAAACCCTCCCTCCCTGCACCAATCACAGGGTCCAGATGTGAGCCGTCGGCTCAGAGATCCTCCCTGGCCACAGTGACCAAGCCGTGACGTCCACCGGGCCCCGGGGAGGGCCTCTCGGTCTGGGACTCCAGCTCTGGGTCCCCCTGGCAGGGAGGCAGCGAGGTGTGCAGGCAGTGGGAGCTGCCACCGTGCCCATCCCCTACCAGGCACAGAGGCCGATCCAGGACACTGACCTCAGCGTTGGGCCGCAGGTGGTGTTGTTCAATGGTTAGAGCGCCGGCCTGCGGACTGGAGGGTCCCAGATTCGATTCCGGTCAAGAGCACGTACCTCGGTTGCAGGCTTGATCCCTGGGCCCCAGTCGGGACGCGTGCAGGAGGCAACCGATCGATGTGTCTCTCTCACATCGACGTTTCTCTGTGTCTCTCCCCCTCCTCCCTCCCTTCCGCTCTAAAAAATCAATGGAAAATATATCCTTGGGTGATAATGAACAATCAATCAATCAATCAAGATAGCCCTAGCTGGTTTGACTCAGCGAATAGAGCTATGGGCCAAAGGGTCCTGGGTTTAATTCTGGTCAAGGGCGGGCTCGATCCCCAGTGTGGGGCGTGCAGGAGGCAGCCAATCAGTGATTCTCCCTCATCGCTGAAGTTTCTCTCTCCCTCTCCTTTCCTCTCTGAAATCAATAAAATAAAAACATTAAAATAAACCCAGCAGCTGGTGGAAGACGCTGTGAGCAGTGGGAGAGCCCCAGGCAGGGCCGGGTACAGCGGCAGGTGCCCTCACGGCCCCGCCCCCTCGCAGTTGTCACATGGCCCCTTTTGGGAGCCCCAGCCGGTTTCAGGCGCACGTCTGGGGCCTGTGGCTAATAATAGCGCCTCATTTAAAACCCTGACGTCGGATGCGCCGTCCTGCCGGAGCTGATGGGCTGGCCTCGGCGCTGGCCGTGGACACGGGAGGGGACGGAGGGACAGAAACGACCTGGGAGGAGAGACCAGCATCCAGGTCATCGGGGCAGGGAATTCAGACCCTGTTGTAATTCTAAAAGGGTCTCAACGTCTCTGTCAAGTCCATACTTTTCCGACTGTATTCGCACGGGCAGAGGCCATTACTTGGATAAGGAAGTGTTTCTTAGAACAGGTACCAGGTGGCAGCCATGGAGGCAGCATCCTGACCACAGACCCTGGGCAAGCTCAGTGCTCTGGAGTAAAAAGCCAACGTGACCCCCGTGGGGACGGAGGGGGCGGGCGGGGGCCGCCGCTGCACACGGGCCCTCCTGTCGTCTCCTTGGCTGAGTGGACACATGGACTCCGAGAACTGGCTCAGCTTGGCTCCACCATCTCACATCTGCGCAGGCTAAGCCCTCAGACCCAGCCTCTCCCCCAAATATGACTCCCAGCCCGGCCGGTGTGGCTCAGTGGTGGAGCGTTGACCTATGAACCAGGAGGTCACCGGTTCGATTCCCGGTCAGGGCACATGCCTGGGTTGCGGGTTCGATCCCCAGTAGGGGGTGGGCAGGAGGCAGCCGATCCATGATTCTCTCTCATCGTTGCTGTTTCTCTCTCTCTCCTCCTTCCTCCTCTCTGACATCAATAAAAACATATTTTTTAAAGAATATATGACTCCCAAATAGGAGGGAGCCCCCGAGGTGGGCACAGCCCCGGCGAGGCCTCAGCTCCCGCGTCGCTAGTCCCACGCCTGAAGCCCCGGGGCGGCCTGGAGTCAGAGGGGCTCCCCCAACCTGCAGGGGGGCCAGGAACCCAGCTCACGGCCTCGCTCACCGGAAAGGGCCGGTCACCACCCGGGTTAGAGCCTCCGAGTTTGCCTCCAAGTTCAAAGCTTCCCGCTGCAGCCGCACGGGCCCCGGGCAGCCCTGTAAGAGGCGATGCGATCCTGAGTCAGAGAGGAAGCCGGCGCTCACTGAGTCACCGGCCACTTCCTCCCGCCTGCGGCCGCCCGGCCAGACCAGCGCTTCCAAGGGGCCACGGAGTGACCGCCGTCGGAAACGCTGATGCCCAAGGCAGGGCCAGCGGGGCCGCTCACGGGTGCCTGC